TAAATGCTTCAAATTTAATATAAAAAATTTAAATTAATTTTTTAAATATATTTTAGACAATGTAAATATATTTTGAATAGAACAGTAACTTTATTAAAAAAATTTATTATTAATTTTAGATCGTCTATATTAAATTTGAATTGTCAAATTGATAAATATATTTATTAAAAAAATTATAATTTTATATATTTTTTATTTTAAAAACATAAATAAAAATAAAAAAAATTAAATCTGAACCCTCTAAATTAGATCTAGATGGTTCAGATTAAACCTCTGCCTCAAAGGAGAGGCAGAGGAGGTTTCTCTTAAAGGAGAGAAGTCGAGTCCAATGAACAATGGTTGCAAGGGGCACACTACACGAGACAAAACATATCAAATTCTCACAAGAACATTATCATGCTATCCTTGCCAATAAAAATAAATAAATAAAATTGCAAGGGGCACACATTATCAACCAAACAAAGATTCTCCCATTTAATCATCTAGTGGTGGCTCGTTAATTCTAGAGTTTGATTTTTTTTGTTGCACAAAAATGTTGGAGAACAGCCTTCAATAGAGCTTGTAATATGAATCAATCCGTAACCCACGGGTTAACCCACAACAATTGCGGGTTTGACAGGATGAGTTGGCATAACCCTCATTTTGTGCAAGTTGAATTTTGTCAACCCACACAACTCGCAATGAGTTGGTGGGTTAACGGGCCAACAACAAGTAAAAAAGTATTTTTTATAATTTTTTTAAATTTTAAAAATTATAATTTACCTCTTATTATTATTTTTTTCACGATGAAAAAATCATATATTCTCCCCTTAAAAATTAATTATCCAAATAACAATCAAAATCTTTCTAATTAAAACATGTTTATATTACTACTTAAATATAAATTAATTTATTTTTGCAAATCTTTATTCTCTAATCTTTTACATGATTGATCAGTATTATACATATATGAATTAATAAAAATATTCTGTTTATTTCCTTTTCTTTTCATCTTGTTTTGTCATTTTTTCTACAAAATTGATGCCCCAATTTAAAATATCAATTATTTTTAAAAAATAAAATAATGATAATTTAAAATCTGGCTATTAGATTATTACTCACAATATATTCAGTTCATACCACCTAAATATTCTAATATCTTTGTATCTGTTTTGTCCTTTTATGTTCAAATTAAAATGATAATATAATATATGGTAAGTTCTTCATAAATATGTTTTATTTTTTAAATCAAAAGGGCAACCAATTTTTTTTTATCCGCTAGCTTGGGTAACACTATTTTACAATCAAAATAGTTTAAATAAACTATTACGTGAATAAAACAAAGTATAATAAAATATTTTATTTAATCTTGTCTTGATCATATTCAGATTATGTTATATCACTATTTAAATATATGAGCAATGTATTTTTATTATTTTCTACCATAATTTAACTTATTATTTTGGTTTCTTATTATTCTGCCCTTAGAAGTTTTTGTCTGAACAAGTTTATTTTTAGTGTCTGGTTGATCAATCTAAGCACAAGCAAGAGTTTGTGAATTCCCTTTTCCAAAAATATTCTGCATTCCTATTGTTAAGTAGGCCCCAAATGAATACATTTCACTTTGCCATGCGCAAGTTCTAATTATGAATACTTAAATTATTTTTAAATTTAAGGATTAATATTTTAAATTAATAAATTTTTTAATCTTTATAAAAATTAAAATTTTAAAATAATTTTAATCTTATTTTATTTTGTAAAATATATGGACTAATATTTTAAATTTGTAAAATTATAAGGATTGAGTTACACTCAGCCAAAATTTAAGAATTAAATTACAATTAAGTCAAAATTATAAAATTTAAGCCACTAAGTCAAAATTTAAGAATTATGTTACAATTAAATTAAAATTATAAAAATTAAATAATTATTATAAGAATTAAATAATTATTCTTTTCAATATTTTGTCTTCATCCACTCGTTGACTTGGTAAAGTGAGTTTTCTAGACATTTTTATAGGGAGAGGGATTCCTACCTTCATTTTCTCTCATTTTTCAATTCTCACCATTGATTTTATTTTATTAAATAAATTTATTTTAATTAAAAATTTCATGAATGACAAGAATTGAGAAAGGAAAGGAAAAGGAGGAAAAAAAAAAGAGGAACCCTAACTAATTTTCACATAATTTCTGTAAATACTGTATTTTGTTTGAATTTTTAAGTGTAAGTTAAAAATTGATAAAAATATAATAAATAAAATAAAAGAATAGAGGAATAAAAAAGGAGAGGCTTTTGTGATAATAATAACAATAATATTTTTTACCCCAAATTTTCTTAACTATGTTCCCATTAAAGTTGACTTTTTTTAAAAAATAAAATTTAAAATATTTGAAATCTGATTTGAGAAAAGTATGCCTTAACTAGGATTTGCTTTTAATTAATAAAGGAAAATTTGAAACCTAAAATAATGAAAAAAGTCAAAATAAAAGTTTTCTTTTTTTTTTTAATTCTATCATTAAGTAAGAGAACTTTAGTTAGCACCTATAAAAGAGATAATTACAGAGGAGAAGGGGGAGAGGTAATCAGGAGGGAATTTTTAAAAGAAGAGACGACTGAATATATTGATGAAACTTTAGAGGTAAGTGACCTTTTTGTACACGACTTTTATGTTCATATTAGGTTAAGTGCAAAGTTGAGTGATCTTTTGAACACCATTCTTATGTTTATATCAATTTTTTCATTTTAGATTTACTTTTGAATCCACAGATGATTTTTATTTTGTTATAATTATACATCTGACTACTAAATTCTCTTATCTCTATTTGACTTCTTTTTTGATATTATGTGACTTTTCTTTTTGCATTTCGTTTCTTGTCCAAAATAACTTCATGTTTGCCAAGTCTACCTTTCTCGTACTTATTTTGTCTTCACTTGTTTTGGCATAATGTTCATGTATTGGATCTCATGCCACATGATGAATTTTAATGTTTTATTCTTCTTTAATTAGAGGTTATGTAGCAATGCTGTGATCTAGCGTATTTGTCCTTTTTTTTTTTACAATCAATACTCACTTAATATTTTATATTTCAATTCCATCTTTCTTATAACTTTAAAAGTTCACGAGTAATACTAAATCACCGTGAGGCACCGTGAGTGATACTAAATCACTGCGAGCTCCAATGCTAGTTAATTAAATCTCTACTCTTATAAATTATTTAAAAATAATCAAAATAAGAAATTTTTTTAATACATTTTAGGTTATACCTTGAGTAATATTAAATTATCGTGGATTGTTAAAATATAAATCGAGATACTGTGAGTGATATTAAATCATTGTGGGCATCAAACCTCTAATCAAAATTTTATAGTTAAATTATTTTATAGAAATTTATTTTGAAAATTCCTTTAGAGTTTGGTATGAATGATACTAAATCATCGTGTACACTCAAAGCATCAACTAATGAACTACGAGTGATATTAAATTACCGCAGGTTTCAATATTTGTTAAATTTTTCTCTCTTATGCATTATTAAAAAATAATAAAAATAATAAACCTTTTAGCATATTTTAGGTCACTTTATGAGTAATACTAAATCACCGTGATCCTTAAAAATATCAAATGAGATACCATGAATGACAATAAAAGGCTGATTAATTTTATACAATCAACTTAGGATAACTGTTCTTATGAACGGGTGTCGTGGAGTGTCTAATACCTTTTTAACGTATAACCGACTCCCAAACCTTATTTTAATTATTATAGATCATTTTATTTTTAAAAAATTTTTAAATTTATCTTTTTAAATTTTGACAATAACTCCTACATTTATCGATCTTTTTTTTTTTTTTCCTGAGGAGATTATGAGGACGTGATAGTTTCCCTCCTTTGAGGTCTTCTCCTTTCAATTCCACATTTTTTATTATTTTTCAAAAATTTACTTTATGTTGGTACTTTTTCTTTCTCGCACCACATGTCCCGCTGTATAATCAATTATTTATATCAAAATCATGGTTTTCTTTAAGCAGACGGGAGTAGCTTATGAGAATCAATTTTATTGTTTACTCATTTATTATATGTTAAATAATTTTTATCTTCTAGATATACCTCTTCAGTCGTGTGCCCTTCTTTTCTTCCTATATACATTGTCATCTTGGTCATTCACATGTTGGTTTAAATCCACTGTCGTCTTCATCACTCTTTATTTTCAGCTCTCAGATACACCCAAACATCTTTGTTTGTTTGCTTGCCATTTTTTTTTTAATCTTCATATGTTTAAATTCGTTGTTGAGTGTATGTTGTCTGTATATCTTTTATGTCAAAAATAAGGAGATTAATTTTATAAATAGAAAACCTGTATATAATCCAACTTTCAATTATTTCACTAATCTTGATATGTCCGTGGGTTAATGTGTAAATTTTAATATGATTTTCAAATATAATTTTCAAATATGATTTTCATACTTAATCACGTGTATGTTAATATTATATAAATATTAATTGGATCACTATTTTACATGTTTTATTTGTTAAATAGAATTTAACAATTTTAATGATATCATATACAATTATATTAATATTCATATCTTAAAAGCTAATATCCTTTATGGTAATATATATATTTAAAATTAATTCGGACTAAATCATTTAAATATCTTTAATTTTGTTAAAATTAATTTTAAAAATATAATATTCAAACATAATTTTATTATAACACAATCAATTACAATTAAAAACAATCATATTAATTAATTTTTTTATAATTAATTATATTTAATTAAAATTCAAACGAGCCCTTAATGTATCAGTGGATAGAATCAATATGTAAAAACAAGATAAATTAGATTCCTTAAAAACAGAGTTTAGAGTCTGGAATTGATTAATGGAAAAAAAATGAGTGTTTGGGTCTTTTATACGAAACCATGGTTTTACATGTTCACAATTGATTATGTAACATATCCAAACAGGACAATAGATGGCAAGAGAAATTTACAAGTGAATCGAACCCTGGCCGATTTTCCGGGGGAAACAAAAAACCCTAGTAGGCTTTGAGACTAATTAACTAATCAATGAATTGTTTACAAATTAGAGAGAGTGGGTGCTGAGGATCCCTCTGGAGCTCGCCGCGACCGTGTCTCAAGTCGCAAGGCTCCTGTGGCTACAATGGCGGCTATAACTCGCCTGGTAAGACGTACAACCTTCATCCCTCACCTGGCGAGTAGATCTTTTTCTTCTGCGGTTGCATCTCAGGCGCCTCCGTACAATGCCCCTATCTTCCATCCCAAACCCCTGTTTCCCCGTAAGGATCCACGGGATAGAAATGTCCAGTGGATCTTTTTGGGCTGTCCAGGCGTCGGTAAAGGCACCTACGCTAGTCGCCTCTGCAATCTGCTCGGCGTCCCTCACATTGCCACGGGCGATCTTGTTCGCGAAGAACTCGCGTCTTCCGGCCCCCTCTCTGCCGAGGTTTCCTTTCCTATTATTTTCATATTTTATTTGTTCTCTTTTCGGTCAGTTAAGGTGCTGTCATGTGAAAATGTTGATTGTGTTTTATATTTACCCAAAAACAAGTTGGATTTTATTGCTGATTTTGAACGCATTGCCTATCCCCTTGCGCACCAAATCATTAATCTCTTTGTTTAAATGGCAGAAGTCTGATAACATAATCTTACAAAGCCTTTTTTTTTTGGGCTTCCTCTTTAAGTTCAAATATAGCTCCATTGCACTGCTAAAGTTAAGGCCTTGATTAGGAGGATGTTTGGGAGTGCGGTGGGATGGATCGAACATTTTAAATTTTAAACATTATCTCAATTTTGAAATCATTAACATTATTGAGATAATATTGGAGGTTTTGTTCTTAAAACCAATCTCATTAAGTTCAATTTATTTGATATCTTCCCCTTTTACTTTTTGTTTCGAATGATTACGAGATCACTGTGCCGTATTTCAATTTAGAAAGTCATCACTGTAGCACCATAGCATCTCATGGCATATCTATGTCCTTATGGTTAGTGTTTAAAATTTGAGATATTTCAATTTTCAGTTCCTTAAACGCTTTCATTGCTACTTGTCATTCATTCTTTTGTTTGACAGTGAAGCATAGTTCTGTCCTGCATATTAGCCCGTTACTGATTTTTTGGGAGTCATGTTTGCCTAGCATACCTTTATATGAAATATTACATTTAGTGTTGGTTTCGTTAAACAAATTTAGTGAAATCTCAGGTTGTGTCCATTTTCAATTTATGATTTGTAATTGAATGTGCCATTGATATCAAGATGGTCAGTTGAACATTTACTAGTGCGTGGTTATGGTGGTGTTTCTGTGTAGTTGACTGACTTTTTGTCTGTTTAATGCGATTATGCATGGAGCTGTTTAATGCTAACATGAGATCATATTTGTTTCAAGAAGTTAGCGTCTGGTAAATTTATGTCCATTGTTTCATGTCTTTCACCAGCTAATTTGTATTTTCCTGGTGTCATCTGCAGTTATCAGACATTGTAAATCAAGGTAAACTAGTCCCGGATGAAATCATAATAAGCTTATTGTCAAAGAGACTGGCTGCTGGGGAAGCGAAAGGTGAATCAGGATTTATTCTTGACGGTTTTCCTCGAACAATAAACCAAGCAGTAAGTATTTTCACATATGTAAGGTGCAATTAATGTTTCTAGTGCAACTGTTTAAAATTTCTTTTCCTGAAAATCTTCAAAATTAATGCAGGGGAACAGAAACAATAATAGTTGATTATGATGCCCATGCTATAATTAAAATGAGAATCAAAAGACAGAATTGTGGGGTAATAATGTGATTTCATATGGCTCCTAGCTCAATTAACGTTTCCTCTATATTTTCAGCTTACTTGCTGCTATTTTACACCATCATTTTTTTCCCTTGAATGTATATTTAAGTCTTGAACATGATCATTAGAGTCTCACCTAATGACTTTCTGGAGATCAACTAACCAAATAAGTTGCGTTGTTTTTATCCCTGTTCCAAATACGTCTTTTTGCAATGTTTTGAAAATTAAATTGGTCATTGAATTTGTCAAGGCATTGTTTCAGGTTTACTGGTTTAACTGTGATCAAATTGGCAGTAATAAAGCTAATGTGTTTTTTATTTTATATATAAAAAATAAAACTATTACTAATGAATTTCATGACTTAATATCACTTCTAAGTATATTTATTCACAATCGTAACTAAAAAAGATTCTGACAAAATGGGGGGGGGGGAATTGAACGGATCAAACTAGTTAGCTGGCAAGTTTTCCCGGGTTTTGACCATTTCTCTTTTTGGTCATTCTTTTAAAGTTTCGAACCACTTCTAACTTCTAACAATGGTTCAGCAGTTCAGACTGGTTCTTGACTAGTTCAGTTCAGTTTTCATAACACTACTTTCTTTTTCAATAATTTTATCCCTTGATGAATATGAGCTGTGATGATTCTGTAATATCCTCTTTTCATAGTGGCATTTTGCTTAATATCTGGATTTGAATTTCCTTTTTGTTTGCCCAGGAAATTTTGGATGGGGTAACTGACATTGATTTGGTAGTCAATCTGAAGATTCGAGAAGATGTACTGCTTGAGAAATGTCTTGGTAGGAGAATTTGTAGTCAATGCGGGAAAAATTTTAATGTGGCTTCTATTAACATGAAGGGTGAGAATGGGAGTCCTGGAATAAGCATGGCACCTCTTCTCCCCCCTGCCCAATGTATGTCAAAACTTATTACTCGTGCAGATGATACTGAGGAAGTAGTCAAAGAGAGGCTTCGCATATACTATGACATGGTATTGCCATATTATTAATTTCTTTGAGTGTACTCAAGAAAACTAATTCCCTATTGCTTCCAGCTGCTTATGAATTTGATTACTGAGTTGTTAATATAATATTTGTCTTTGCTTTCATGATTGTTTCAATATTTGTTCTGTATCATGCTCGCAGAGTCAGCCTGTGGAGGATTTTTACCTCAGTCAAGGAAAACTATTGGAGTTTGAGCTGCCAGGAGGGATCCCCGAATCCTGGCCAAAGTTGCTGCAAGCTCTTAATCTTGATGATTACGAGTCCAAACAGTCTGCTGCTGCATAAATACAATAATGTACCATAAAAGTGAGTATTTCATTCTTTGCATGCTTACGTTGCATGCCTGGCAATTTTGCAGGAAAGAGAGCATGAGAAGGGGAACTTCTCTATTTGAATTATTTGAATAAATAATGTTATCAGGAAGTGTTGAAATCTTGATCAAACCTCTGCCCAATTGGCTTCCATTCGTATTATTAAGTTGAATATGTCAGAAGTTCTGGTATATTTTTCTTCAACTCGGCGAGAGTTTATGATAGCTGCTTAAATGCTTGGTTAGCAATAAGCTTCAAAAAGACTGGTACGTCACAATTGTAATGCTCTCTCTCTCTCTCTCTCTCTCTCGTTTTTTCTGGCCCCAAGCCAATTATTATTATAATACTGTTTTATTTAAATGCAAATGGACTAATTTGGTTTCACCAACCATTGCTCGAGAGATTCAGGAAAGGCTTTTTTATATTGGCCTCAGTAAAAGCCATTTTATGGTTTCTGATATTTTCTAACCGTACTTGCTGCTGACCTTTTACTCACCAGTGGTATGAGACCGCTTTGACCATGCTTGTTCCTTTCAAAACATTTTTGTTCACAGTGAGCACACCCAGTAATAAACTGCTTTATAGCTGACCGTGGTTTGCTGTTTGCACCTAAAATATCTAATTGGGATCCCCCCCCCTCCAGATCGAGTTTGTTTATTTTTTTACAGAATGAATGTACCATTCCCATTAGATGTCATGTGGATTAGAAGGCCGAGTTTTTTGGAAAGTGTGGGGGCATTTTGTAATTTGCTTATTGCAGCTGGCCGAGCTGGTTTGCTCAAGTATTGCAAGCTGGCAAGTTTAAATAGCTGCTAAAGTAGACAGGGCACGATACCAGCTCCTGCCTGCTTAAATCTGCATGGTGCAGGATAGATTTTGCCCTACATTTTATCTTTGCAGCTACCTTGTGCTTCCGTTAGATCGAGTAGTTTCGCTTGTAACTCGTGAATTTAATGAACTGTGGTTCTGTTCAATAAAGTTTTGAAGGAATGAAATGAGATTCTGGCGATGGATCTCTATGACTATCCCAAACCAATTTTCGCTGGCTAGATGCTACGAAAGAAGGGAACAGTTTATTTAAAAGTGAGCCAATTTTGGTACGAACCATTTAGCCCAGGTGATTTTTATTTTTAAATTATTTTTGTATTTGAAAATTAGCATTCTAATCACTTCCTTCTCTCTCTCTCTTCCCCAAGTTATTTTTTATATAACTTTGTATAAACTAGTAATAATTTATACATTTGTATCATCTGTTGCAAATAATGGAAATAACATGAGGAATTCATTTCAGAAGGTCATGCTTCGTATAGGTGGGATTCAAATATTTAATACGAATAATGTGATAAATAAAACAATTTGTAACGAATAGGAATAGGACTAGGGGAAGACGCTAGCTTTTTGTAACGTAATAAATTAATATTTGAATTTTGTTTGAAGAGATGTTTATATTTAATGTTTAATCGTGTTTTGAATTAGATTGCTTCTAACAAAATATTTATGAATAGTAAAAAAATAAAATTTTTTTTTGTAAAGTCTGTGATTATGGATTTGTTTTGAGTGTGTGTGAATTCTAAATTTAAGTTAATTGTCTGTTGAGAAACTAAAGTTGGGTGTGAGAAATTATGTTTAAAAAATGTCAATTAAAAAATATATTAATAACGATGTGGGCCAAGCCCCTGGCCTATTAGCCTACTTTAGTGGGTTGAGCTAAGGTGCCCCTCCACTCCACACAGTAGGTGTAGTATAATTACTTCTATATATTCTTTTTTTAAAATATAAGATATTTTTTAAGGAATTGAATGTTAAAAAATATAAAGTATTTTTAATTTTTTAAAACGTAATTATTATTTTTTTTAAAAGTGTCTATGTTGATAATGATTTTATATTTATTATAGGATGTTTAATATGGGTAAATATAAAAAGATAAGGTTAGTTTGAAAGTATATAATTACTTTATTGAGAGCGAAACTTAATTAAAAATGCTTTATATTTTTAACGGAGTGAGTATACGATTAAATGGAAATTAATTTATTAAAGATTAAAAAATATCATACTTTCTCAAATTGCCATCGTAAAAAATTAAGGGTTTGTTTGTTTTGACATATTTTATAAAAAAAATTACTTATTTTTTAAGAAAAAAATTATTTTGTAAATTTTAATGATAATCGTTTAAATTTTTGAAAGTAACCAGAATCTAAAAAAATATTTTTTTATTATTTTAAAATTTATTTTAAATAATTTAAAAATTTATTTTAAATGACTTCACAAAATAATTGGATGTAATAGAAGAGAGAAAATATTTGAAAAAAGTGATATACACAAAAATATTATGAAATTTAAAATAATTAAATAATAAATTATTTTTGTAAAATGAAAATCAAAGAGGTTATCATAAAAGTTAAAAATAATTAACTGACAATTGCTTTTTAATTATTGTAATTATGTATAAAATAATTTTCATTTTTTACAACATTTCTACAAAATCAGGGCTTCGTGTTTTAACTTATTTTTATGAAAAATTACTTTTTTTCAATTCATATTGTGAGTTTTTATGATATTAGTTTAAACATTTAAAAATAATTAAAATCTTAAAAAAAAAGGCAAATTTTTAATTATTTTGAAAAGCTGTTTTGTTTTGAGTGATTTTTGAAAGTAATTTAATGCCGTAGATGAAAGAAAGTGTTTTAAAAAAGTAGGATAATTGAAAATATAATAAAATTTTAATATGATATAATAATAAATTATTTTATAAAATAAAAATTAAAGAAGGTATCATAAAATTTAAAAGCAATTAACTAGTAATTACTTTTTTATTATTGTAATTAAACATAAAATAATGTCTACTTTTTATAAAAATCTCTATAAAATAATGCCTAACTTTCTAAATCCCCTTTAAACAAACAACTATCAAGGTAATAAAATCTAAAACTGATAAAAATAATTATCATGCTAGAAAAAATTCCATCCCTTGTAATACAAACATTGTTTATTAGAATAAAACTCTACCATAATTACCGAATGTTAACCTGGTAGATAAAAGGATAAACTTATATTCGCAAACTAGGGATATCCCCAGATTATAGTTATTCACGATGTGGCTTACCCATCATTGTCATTATCATAAGTAAATCATACCAGTCGTGCACCGACCTAAAAGCATCCGGCCTATTCTGCTAGCACTCTGTCCATAAACATGACACAACGATAATTGTAACAGTCAACAAAATAAAAAACTAAGTTAACAATCATAGGCGGCGATGTCATATAGTCTCAGGCCTCGACCATCAGCATTTCCAGGGAAGGTTTATAATAAGGGATAGGAACATGATACGTTATCAGGTCCTGGACTAATAATAATATATTTTAAATTTTAAACAACTAAATTTAAAACAATTTTTTTTTGATAAGAAATTTAAAACAATTTTGCCCCGTCGTTAAATTGAAACTAATGTCTATTAGTTTGAAGTAAAGGAAGAGCATGTTGGTTCATTCAGTTTCTTTCTCCACTCGGCTGCTGATCCATGTCTCTCTCTCATCTCAATATGCCTTTGTTATCCACCCTGACCAGCTCTAATCACTCAGAAACTTCTTCCCAGTTAAGACTAGAATCTCAAAATGTAGCGTCCATGTCTGACCTTATCTTTAAGAGAGAGAAAAATTTATCACAGTACAGGCCTTTATCATAGTGCTACTACTTCATCACTTGTACCCAATCTTGCTTCTTCTCTTCCTCTCAACTCCAACAATAATGGCTTCCCCTTCGCCGCCAACATTTCTCCTCTCCCCAACTCCTTCATCAACATCAACCAACAAGGTACCAATTTAGATCCGTGTGTGTGTCTATGTCTATGATATGTATAGTTTCTGGTTTGAATGTTATCGATGATGGTGCAGGGCAGATCCAGTGCTGTCTGAGGTGTACTGGAGGAAGATGAGCGAGGAGTGTATGGTGGAGATTAAGGGCTGTGAGCTTCTGAGTTACTTGAGTGATTTGAGAAGTTAACTAACTATATCTATTCTCAACAGGAGTGTGTGTTGATTCATGAAGCTGAGGCTCGAATACGCCATTAAAAGGCTTCGTGTTCTGGTTAATAACGTAGAGACAAACGATAGGCACACTGTGGTTGGAAAGGGCTCGACGCAGCTCTTTCAAGCTGCTCTCTTTGCTCTCTCCTCCAGAAGATAGCAAAGAAGAAGAAGGGAGAGCAATTTTAAATTCGAAGATGCAATTTTATAATTTTTTCTGGTGAATGCAATTTTATAATTTTTAATAACATTGAATATTTGTTAAAAAAAAAATAAGATAGAATATTTACAGAAACGAGTGATATAAATGCTAGAAATTTCTATAGCATTTTTTCATTTTTTGTTATTCCCTTTGAATATCCGTACACTTCCTTGTGAATAATGTTTTGTTCTAGAAAAAGAAATATTTTTTTATGTTATAAAATATAGTTAATATGAAAAGTAGAGAAGGATAAGACAGTACAAGAAATAGAAAGAAAATAATGGAAGAGAATTCTTACTCATTAATGTACATGGGCTTTGAACGTGACCTCTGTTTATGAGCCTCTAGCCATTCAAATCTTATTTTAATATTACAAAGTTATAATGAGGCATATAATGATGTATTATGTAACTTTTAAAGGTTATAAGTTATTAAATCTAAGAAACTCCCTCTTTGCCATTTATGAGGACATTAAAGACAAATAAATTCTAAGGGTTATGAGTTATGGACATCCGATCTACAACATAATATTTATAATACTCACCCTTGAATGTCGATAATAAACACTGTGTCTCATTAAAATCTTACTAAGGAAAACACAATGGGATGAAATCCTAATGAAGAAAAAGAGTACACAATATTTTAAATACTCAATATTGTTGCCTCATTGGAAACCTTTCTAGGAAAACCTAGTAGGACAAAACCTTAAAAAGGAAAAAAGAGTATAACATAATATTTACTCCCCGTAGTCTTCCTTTGATAACAATATCACTTTATGTCTTTGAGTTTGTGCATTCCAATTTCATACACTAACTTCTCAAATGTCAAAGTTGGTAGTATCTTAGTAAATAAATTTGCAAGATTGTCATATGAGCAATTTTACTGAACAACTATATCACTGCTTTTCAAAAGGTCATGAGTGAATTTTTTTTTTGAGAAATACGTTTTGTTTAATCTCCTTTGATATATCCTTCTTTTAATTGAGCTATGCATGCTGTGTTGTCCTCAAATAATATTGTTGGAATTTTTTTTTCAACAATAAACCACACATCATTTGGATATGATGGATTATTGACCTTAGCTAAATACATTCTCTACTTGTTTTGTGAATTGTAACTATTTTGCATGATTTGGTGAGGTAGCAGCTAGTGTTTGTTTTGTTGAATGTGAAAATATTGTCGTACCCCAACAAGTAAATAAATATGCAATTTGTGATCTGCCTTTATGTGGATTTGATCGAAATCCTGCATCTGCATAACCAAAAAGTTGTGATCCAAATTTATTAGAATAAAATAATCTCATATAATTATCCATCAGAGATATCGAAATAGGTGTTTAACTCCATTCTAATGGCTTTTTGTCGAGGAAGAATTAAATCTTGCTAATAAATTTACAGCAAATGTAATTTCAGGTCTTGTTGAATTGGCAAGATACATCAATGCACCTATAGCACTAAGATATGGTATTTTAGGACCAAAAAGTTCTTCATCTTTCTCTTAAGGGCAAAAATGATCTTTTTTCTCATCAAGAGATCTTACAACTATCGAAATAATTAATAAATGTGCGTTGTCCGTGTAAAATTGCTTCAATATTTTTTCAATGTAAGTTGATTAATGAAGAAAAATTTCATTTGCTAAGTGCTTGATTTGTAAATCGAGGTAAAATTTTGTTCTTTCTAGATCTTTTATTTCAAATTCTTTCTTTAAACAATCAATTGTCTTCTGGAGTTCTTCAAGAGTTTCAATTATATTTAAATTACCCACATAGACAGCAATTATAAT